TAAGACTCCATAAACGCGTTGGACTGCGGCAACGAATCCAAAGACTTCAATTTCAACGCAGGAAGCTCGCGGCAAGCTTCTGACTGATCGACTCGCATTACCGCCCCAGCCAGAAATAACTCGTCGATCGACGTCGAAACGATGTCGCGTCGACATCGAAACCGCCATATTGACGTCGATTTGACGTCGTTTCGACGTCGATCGGCGAGTAATTTCTGACTGGGGCACGCGTTGCCGCAGCTCAACGCATCCATGGAGTCTTAGCTTAACTCGTCGTCTACGATGCGTGGAGTAAGCCTGGCAAGGAGTAAGAAAGAGAACCTTTAGCTTTTGGCGTAAGGAAGCTTGAATACAGGCATAATTTTGCAAATATTTTAACACTCGCCGATGACGTTCTGACTCGCCGAGAATAAGCGTAAGAGCTGAGGTAGGAGTGAGAAATAAAATTGTTTGATTTCCTTACTCCTACACTTTACCCCAGGCTTACTTCACGCATTGTAGACGACGCATAATAGTCGCTACCGCGGTGCCGCAAATATATCACGAATTGATTATAATTATAATATCGATAACACTGAGAGAAATGTTGCATCGACAAGACATTTTTCAAAAGGATGCATTCTGGTTATATCGAATAGAATTTCCGGTTATTGCGAGTGCATTTCTGGTTCTTTTGATATTTTATATTTGAAAGATTCAATTGACTTAATAATAAGTACGTTACCTCGATTTACGCGGAGTACTCGGGCCATGTGGTTTATTTTTACGCGGTCAGTAAATGTGTGTAAAATAACGAAACCTAAGAGAAAATCCTGCATATGTTAAATAAAGATGATTTATTTCGCATATTTGCAGAAAAGAAAATGAAAGTTCAGAGAAACGGATTTAAATGTTATTCGTTGTTGTTAACATTAATATAGTTCAAAGCGGTCGGCCGTATCTTTTTAATCGGATCAAAGTTATCCTCGTCGCACACCAAAAATATCTGCGGATAATACACTTCTATTTCAATTTGACTAGTGACGTGTCTCTTTTAAGGATTGCATATTTTCCGATCGCGTAAAACTGAGGCTGCGTATAAAAAGTACCGCGTAAATCGAGGGACGGTATTCTGCACTGAAAGAATTTTCTCTTAAAATTTATCCTGAAAATCATGTAACTGTGGAACAACGTGGCATTTTGAAATTTTACTATACATTCTACTAGTAAAATGTACGGTGAAATTGCAAAAAGTTCTTCGAAATTCCATGTTGGCCCACGATCACGCGATTTTCAGGATAAATTCGTGGGACAACACGAAGAATTTTATGAGAGTTTGTTGAAATTTTACCATACATTTCACTAGTAGAAAGTATGGTAAAATTTCAAAAACTGTTGTAAAGTTGCTTAAAATGCCACGTTGTCCAACGAATTTATCCTGAAAATCATGTAGTCGTGGGAGAACGTGGCATTTTGAAGAATTGTATAAGAGATTTTTGAAATTTTGCTATACATTCTACTAGTAAAATGTACGGTAACATTTCAAAAGGTTCTTCGAAATGCCATGTTGGCCCACGATTACATGATTTTCAGGATATAATTATAAATTCTCTCCGCGTAGGTGAATCTACCAGACCTCCAATTTATACAAACCGACGTTTTTTCCCCCAGCGTATGAAGTTATTCTCGCTACGGTAAGATGAAGCAGCCGTAGAATTTCCCTCGAAGTTGTATAAATATACAAGGTATAAATAATAAAAAGTATAAATTCAATCGCATGACAACTTTAGCTCGTAGCTTTCAAATCATTTCGTTTATTCGCGGTAAATAAAGAGAGAACAAATTAGATATCTCAGATGAAGCCTTTAATACCCGCGGTCGTCGCAGCGTAACGTTTGCCATTTTGAGTTCGAAACGCGATAATTTCATTTTGCGACGGCGGAATCTCAAAATAGGCAAAGCTCTAGATAGAACGCGATGGTCACGCGCGAGCTTACCGTCAAACAGCGGAGCCGCGGCGTTAAATAGACGACGAGAACACGGGCATTGGAAATGTCACGTGTACTCGCGCGAGCGATCGAGGCCGTGGTTTCGAAACGGCATTTTTCCCCGGGTGACAAATGACCGTGTCCGCGTCGTTTTCCTTCGGCAAACACCGCGCTTACGTTCTACGGAAATTAATTAACGCACTAATGGCGCGTTAGACCGTCGTCGGCGGCGTTTTCCTCCTTTGCACGCACGCCGCACATTCCGCGGTATATATAGTCTAACATGTAACTGCCATAATATTAATATTAACGAAATTATATTTTCACGTGCGCGGAGAGAATCTTCCCTCAAAATTTATCAACTAAAAATCATGTAATCGTGGGGCAACATGGCATTTCGAACAATTTTATGGGAGTTTTCTTAAAATGCCACGTTGTTTCACGATCGCGTGACTAAGGCCCACTTTCGCACGACTAATGTACGCGGGGAGAGTTTTCTTTTAAAATTTATCCTGAACATCTTGCAATCGTGGGACAACACAAAACTTCAAAGAATTTTATGAAATTTTGCATAGTAAAATTTTACAAAACTCATAAAGTTGTTCAAAATGCAATGTTGTCCTATGATCACACGATTGTCAGGATATATTTTAAGAGATAATTTTCTTCGTGTGCTTGAAATTACTTGGCGACATTCGGCGCTCTATCAAGCGTCCCTCCGTGCCGCGATTTTAATTTCTTTGAAACATAGTTGAAAAGCTCTTGTTTTCAAATTGCGAAATTTGGAACAAGCGTGTCGGGTGGCTAATTACAATGTTTGACAAGTTTGTTAACATTTATATAATTATTATTACTATAATTAATATATTTATAATTCTATTGTTGAAGTCAAATAGGTATCAAATGTAGCCAAAAATCTGCATTTTTCGATACGATGCAACTTTAACACACACGTTTCTATTCTTTCTAATCTTTTCTTCTTCGCGTACCTTTCGCCTATTACGCTTATATTTTATCAAGATTATACAAACTTTCCTATTATATTAATAATCTATATCTCCAGAAAAATGA